CCAGGGTCGTTGGATGGGTGGGTTTCAATTTGGCAGTTTATGCAAAATGTTCTTGGGCATGGATTATGTGGCGGAGAGGTTGCACACTGGCTACATAGCTCAATATTTCAACATCTATTTTTGGTATGACCGAGTCTTTGACAGGTTTTGCACCGCATCGGATTTGGGATAAATTCTTACACATGAACCCTTTCCCATCCTAATTTAAGGATTTCTGATCTGCGGATTAGGTCGCATGTCACAATTGCAGCACCGGTAGAGATTAGTGCGTCACCATCTTTTCGCATGATTTTTTTGACTTCGAACACTTTTTGGTTTCCTAGCCCTTCTACTAATTCTTCTTCGGAGAGATTGATTAGATTTCTGGAAAACATTTTACCTTGCGTGGTGTTAAGACCTTTGTGAGAGGTAATTTTTACAGGTATAATGCCTATGTGAGTTGCTTTGATATACTTTTCGGCCGATTTCGCATTTTCGACTTTTAGGAGGGGGTCACCGGATCTTAATTCCGTTACAACGGTGTTATCGCCGCAAATTGGACCGATGGCACTTGCCACTAAGATCCGAGGGATATGGTCGTCATTTTGTTTTGGCGCAGGAAGTGGTACAAAGTCACTGAATTTTGGTCGTTTGTTGGGACGTTGCAAATCGGGATCGAGTAACCGAAACCTATTGCTTTGGGGGGGTCGGCCCGTTTTTGGTTTCGAATGATAACTACGGTACTGGGTTTGTTTTTTTATGTTTGCACTGAGTTTTTTTTTTGTTTTTTTTTTTGTATGTTTACATTAATAAACTAACAACTACAACTTTAAGGGGCTGCGGTAACTGAATCGGCTAGAAAGGAAGGATCAAAGGAAAAGATCGCGTGAAAAGGTCACGGGACGTGTTTACACGGTGGTTGCCCACTTTGAACAGAATACAAATCATATAAGAACTTCTACCATTAAACATTGAACTTGTTAGAATTCAGAGCCACGCTCACTTTTTCAATAAATTTTGCCTATCGGTTCCCCTTGTTAGGTGAACAAAACTACAATACTCCAGACGACTTAAGCTACAACAACCAAATTTTCTGAATACAAGTTTTATAAAAACTTCTATCGACAGTGTGAAAATGGATGAAATCTGTGGATAACCCGCTCGCTCTCCATATAACGGTACTGTTGAAAACTACTAAAAACGCAAAACATCAATAACTAAATACGACAGAGACATTAAATTTTACCAACGACATGCTATTAAAGAACTTTATGGAAGTCAGGGTGAAAATTGAACGACGGGCCTGCCACTGCCCACTTTCTGGCCTCTTTGATGAAATCACATATCTCGAGACATGAGTGACCAATTTCGACTAAATCTAGTTCATTGCATTCTTCTCATATTCCTAAGTCTCAATGTAAAAATAAACGAAATCGGGAAATAACCATGCCTACTCCCCATAATCACAATTTTAAATTCCATTTGATTTGCTCAGTTTTCAGTACATAAATCAAGAAACGGGATAAAACTTTACACGAATAACGTCTTTTTTGTGCCACATTATGACCGGAAGTTGTTTAAATCCAATAAAAATTATTCAGGCCCCAAGGTACCGAATATTTACACCCCGTTACCTATAGTTGACTTTTGATCGAAAATGTCGGTCAATGTGTGATATATATAGCTGAAAGTAAAGTATAATCCTTCTCTTATAATGTCAAAAGTAGTTTGAATCGCATCAATCAAGATTTTCCAACTTCCGGGTGACTTTGTACCGTATATATCGGCCAATATGTGAGTTATCCCTATGGAAATAAGAGAGGGTGTTTTACTTATAACAGTGAATCTTTGTGAATAAACTAGATAAATTTGAGCAAAAACTTGGCACAGGCCAACCTATATAACTAATATCAGGAATTCCGAGCATCCGGCTGACCAGCTCCATATAATTGGTGTTTTGTATGTGGCATCTTAGTAGTATGTGGTATTGGGAAAATATATAAAATCGCGTCAATATTACCCAACTCTCACATATTTCCACATACATATTTCTCACATATTACCCAGATTTCAATTTTTTCACTGTCCTGAAAGCGAAATTTATGTATAAAATGTTCAACCAATTTAAACCCACTTTTTCGAACTGAGTGCGACTGTTGTCGATAATAATTTTTATAAATCACTCCTATATGTGAGATCTAAATAAATTCAATATTTTAATAAATTTGTATTACAATATTATAATAGTTAATTACTTGTTTGAACTCTTTAACGATGAAAAAATCATTATAGATCTTTTTTAAAGAGCTTTAAATTTCCTACGGACAAAAACAAATCAAAATATTTTGCACACATCGTTTCGGAACCGCCGATATCAGACCATAGTGGTCTATATATAGTATATGTATAATAACAAACCCCAGTCATTGTATGAATTTTTTGTTTTTATATATGTATATGTTAATATAAAAAAAAAGATGTCAGATAAACTTACGAAGTCAAGATAAAAAATCTTTTCAAACCTTTTGATGTAATAAGAAATGTACCTATGAATGTCATTTTAGCATTGATGCAGCCGAAGCTAACATTTTTTTTTAAATCCATAAATATTTCTAACCGTAACATACAGACATCAGAATATGTGACGTTTATAGTGCAAAGACCAGACTGCAGGATAATTGTATTTATATCAGTAACGATATGACATCATGACAAATTTTTGAAATCAACTCGCGGAAAAAAGTATCATATAATTCAAAGTTTTATGGGCGAAACTTTGAATACGATCATATCCGGTGTGTGCCTTTGCTAAGTGCTTTTTCCAACTAAACACGCCAAACTCATATAAGAGTTGCATAGTAAAAACAACTCATTTATCCCCCGCTATTTGGCTTTTCTATAGTAATGACATTCTAACTCGAAATTCCACCTGGCCGCCTCTTCTAATCATAAACTAGTAATAAATTTACACACTCCTACATATATATACATATGTTCATGTTTAGAGACGAATAGGTAAAAAGCAAACTCGTAAAGCAATCAGCTGTACGCGAGCAGCTGTTGTCAGTTCATTCGCGAGAGTCGTTCATAATGGCTGTGTGACTTATGTACCGCGAAATCATTTTAATTGTGAAAAAGAAAACAAAAGTATTAAGGAAAGCTGTAGAACACGGGGTTTATTGCACACCTATTAAATAAGCAAAAGATTAGTATTTATGAATTGACAAAGAAAATTGAGAGCGAGTTCCGGCATTTGGTGTGCAAACAAATAATATTTTGACGTGATAAATTATAATTACATACTATATGTACATATAGTATATACTAGAATTAGAAGTACTTGACTCAGCCGTTTAATGATTATTTGATGGCCAAAGCAGTTTGGTAGCTAGGTCATTCAGTGTGTGAAACTTGCATTGTTGTGACTCTCACGAGAACGATTGAGTTTTAACCGAGTGCTATGCCAACAAATACATATACATATATGCATACATACACGTTCATATAACTTTGCACGCATTTATACGCTTACGGCTAAATATCAAGGATAGAAACACAAAAAGTGAGACGGGGATTGCCAAAGTCGGCTGCGCAGTTGTAACTGATAAGAGGTGCCAGACCGTGGTACATACAAGCGGCGACGCGTGGAGCAAAGGAAACAGCTGACTGAATCATACACGAAGAAATAGGTATGTATTAAAATAAAAGAGTGAGTGTCGGGGGAAGTGGTTCAGCGGTTCGTAATCACTTCGTTGTTATGGTTTCGGTTTGACTTGCTTTATTGCTGAGATAACCGATTTGCATGGTGTGAGTGGACACGCTCGCGAATATCACAAAAACGGTATATCACTACAGTGATAGGAGCCACAATTATCCAAGCATGAGCTTGTGCATAACAACAATTGGAACTCAGTGCTAATAGACGACAATAAAACTATAATTAAGCATAAATGCACATAGTAATTTCTGTATGTAAATGGATGCAAAATTAAGTACATGGTACAGACCCTTAATATGTAAATTTATGTATATTAGTAATATTTATGTCGTAAAGTGAATTATTCAGAAATTGATATGTACAGATATACAAACATTCAAATATCAGTATATGTATATGCATGACAAACAGTGGCGAACAAAAGTCTACAGACAACCACTATTCTTTTGTTCACTTTTTTGAAAATGAGTTGATACCATTTTATTCTAATTTTTTGGATGTGGGAGCTCCTCCACTTATATTTTTAAACATCTTCCCGATTAAAAATTCAAACATTTGTATTAATAACACATAGTATTTCACAATGCTTCACTAAATCTTTTAAAATTTTTCACTATGTATATTAGTATATTGAATGTACACTCTAAACATTAAAATAAGTTCACATTTCACTTTTATTTTCTTATTCTCTTTTCATCGTTGAAAAGGTTAAATTGTTTATAATTATCAGGAAAACGAGCATTGATACATCTTAAACATCAAATATGTAGGATTTCTTTGTTTGTATTTTCGCGTAATTCTTTTTTCTATATTAACTATAATAAAAAATACTTTCCAACATTTTTCAAGCTATAATTTAGTTGTGAACACACGACCGCGTTTTAAATAATAATGGTCGAGCCAATACTCGGGGTGACTGAAGTACTTTTGCGTAGTACTCGTCAATGCGTCAATACTACCCAACTCTCACACATTTCCTTACGGTATTTCCCATTCTTTGGTCACGGCATGTTGCATGAGTATAATAGCCCTTCCTTACTTGTTTTAAACTGTATTTATTTAAGTTAGTTGTCTTTCGTTTTGTCGGAGCTCTATCATTAATGAAAACCTAATTTCGGACTTCCAGAAAAATATTTTAAGAAAAACCCAGATTTCTAGTTTTTAACTGTCCTGAAAGCGAATTTTATGTATAAAATGTCAACCAAAATTCAAAAAATCAACCAATTTAAACCCAGTTTTTCGGAAGGAGTGCGACTGTTGTATATAATAGTTTTTATAAATCACTTCTATATGTGAGATCTACTATAAATGAATTCAATATTTTAATAAATTTGTATATCACAATTCCGATTTCTTTGGCGCCGCGATCTGAAGGTACCGATGGAAGGAGGAAGTCCTTCTGATAAAAAAATATAGGATTGTAGGTACCGTAAACGCTTAGTTTAGGAGATATTCGACCTTAAAGTTCAAAAGTTCGCAAAATTCGTACACTTCAATAAGCTATTTCATAACATTAAACACACCTTATTCACATTTTTCACTTCAAATTAATTAAATTACACTATAAACTTGTAAATAAATCCATATTTTACGCTTTTAGCAGGTTTTTTACGTAAAAAAATCTTTATTTTAAAAATTAAATTTTACACTCGTTCGAACCTCATTTGCTTACCAAAAATTACGACGAAATGGAGCGCTGCCATGTGATGATCAGGCAATTCGCTGAAATTCCTCTGTTTCGTTTAAATTCCTCTATTCATGCATATGGATATTAACTTTTTTAATTTTATTAAGCAGATAAGTAATATTATATACATGTATTAGTAATATTGTATAATAATATTACGTAATAAAGTGTAAAGTATATTAGTACAGAAAGAAAATTCAAATTTTCGTTCAATATGAGTGCATGGTAACCAACAAATATAACCACTTTATAACAAAAACTCAATATATTTTTTTTATTTTTAACGCAGAAAGGAGTACTACGCGAAGTACTTTAGTCCCCCGGTATTCACTCGGCCAGGGTTATTTTTTTAAAGCCCGGCCGAAGGCCGCCAACCCAGAAAGAAGTATTACGCGAAAGTACTTAGGTCCCCCCTGGTATTCGCTCGACCAAGGTTATTTTTTTGGAGCGCGGCCGAAGGCCGCCAACCCAGAAAGGAGTACTTCAGTCATCCCGATATGATTTATATTTTATAATAATAGTTTGTCAAAAAAGTCTTGCGGTATTTTTATTGAATTTTCAATTGTTCATAAATTTTTTTTGATGACTCATACCCAGCTCTTGACCGATGCTACGGCTGCTACTATGCCGGTGTCTTTCGACCAATTCAGAGATTTTATCGCAATTTTCGACGACAGGTCTTCCCGAGCGTGGCGCATCTTCGACCACCTCTACACCAGAACGAAAACGTTGAAACCATCGTTGTGCGGTGGAAATGGAAACTGTATCGGGTCCATAAACTGCACAAATTTTATTGGCGGCTTGAGATGCATTTTTACCTTTATTGTAGTAGTACTGTAACCATATTTTCTCTTTATTTTGCTCCATGCTTGCGTCGCTATAACTCACGAACGACTTAAAAGAAACGACAATCAATAAAACACGTGTTAGCGCGTGAAATGAGCTTTCCAAAAAGATATAGCATGACCCGATGCGACGAATAAAACTAGAACTACGCGCTAAGTAGCGAAAATACAACAAGACTTTTTTGACAACCTAATATATCATAGAGTTTTCGTTATTTGTGTTTATTAAATATAAATCACATATTATACATATACAAATGTAGATGGAAACAGTGTTCACAACTCAATTATAACTTAAAAAATGTTGGAAAGTATTTTTTATTATAATTAATATAGAAAAAAGAATCACGCAAAAAAAACAAACAAAGAAAAATCGTTAATAATCCTACATATTTTATATTTAAGACGAGGTAACACTCGTTTTCCTCATAAATGTAAACAATCTAACCTTTGCAGCGACGAGTGAGATAAGTGATTTTTAAATTAATAAATTTAGGTAAAATATTACAAAATAAAATTAAAATGTGAACTTATTTCAATGTTTAAAGTGTATATTTAAATATACAGAGTAAAAACGTGAATAAATTTAGTGAAAGATAGGGAAATACCATGTGCTATTAGTGCAAATTTTTGACCTTTTAATCGTGAATATTTTTAAAAATATAAGTTATTTTTATATTACTTTTGGATATTCCTCCCCTGGAGAAGCTCCCCTATCCGCATATACCACATTTATAGGGAAATTCGGTTTTTTACCCCTCCGCCAAGGTAATCGGAATCGTGCCATTTGTATTATAATATTATAATAGTTAATCATTTGTTTGAACTCTTTTAAAAGTTCGTGGAGAACAAATTCTTTGTATATTTGATTTTTCTACTAATGAGACCATTTTTGTAGAACAGTAAATTTCCTAGTAAACTATGATGTTTGTAATTTAAGATTATTATTTTACTTGAGTTGTAGAATTAAAAATGGCAATGGACTTAAGATAGTCAAACCTCAACCGTAAATATTTATTAAACGGATAGGTTTAGAAAAAATCGTTATACAGATTTTTTTAAAGAATATCTCGTAAACTAAGCGTTTGCGGTACCTATAACCCAGATCGCGAGGCCAAAGAAATCGCAACTTTCCTTTTTTCCTAATCACAATAATCTAAAAAAATGATTACGTTAAGATAACCTCGAAGTTTCTTTCATTCCTCTTCTAGTTATTTTCTCGCTTCACTGCAATGACTCTGCTAAAAGAAATATCAGTGGCCAGAAGAAATTAAGAGATAAAATATTGTATCCGTATAAAACAGAAGAAAAAATTTAAAAATAGTGGTTCTGCTGAAGTTAAGCTGCGAAGTGGTCTTCGAGAAAACTATCTTGAAGAAACGATATCGTAAAGTTCAAAGTAGGAGACAAAAACTATCTATCCAAAAACACAAGAAAGGACTCTAAATGATAATAATTTTCGCAATAGAACACCAAGCAAGAAGCTTTTTATTTTAGAATAAACCAAAATTGTTAATTCAGTATTGAATATAAAAAAACATGGATTTTTCTGAAAAAATTTGATTTCTAAATGAGTCGAAGCTCAACATCTTTGATAGCGATGGTGAACAGCGACCCAACTAAATCTTAAAATGCCATAACAATTAAAATACATTAAAGTTTTCGCAATAAAACAATATGTTTGTAAACATTTGTCAAAGCAGTTCTTTGTGAAAAGTTATTGAAATTTCCAAACCATTACAACAAAAGGTGTATGGATATTTTTGTTCCTCACTGTATAACTGGCAACATGTGTTAGATGTGTGCCCGAACTTCTCCAACTGGTTGATTAATTTTATAGGTGGCAAATACAAAAGATTGACCAAACCCGTTAAGGAGTGCCACTATAAGTGAATAATTTTCCCATTATTTTACTTTAAGCTTTGACCTTTTAAAATATGATTGCTAATCAATATAGTACACAAGAGAGAAATAAAGAAATTATATGGTGCTATCCAAAGTAAACAGGACTTTTTGAATCTAGCGCCCCCTGGTGGCGCCATCTATATGTCGTATGGTCGTTGGAATCTGCTGTCTTTATCGATTGTCCAGTGAGAATTTCATGACATTGATTGGAAGTGAATTTATTTTAAGTATCTGGCGGCCATGCCAGTGCAAGTGCTGTATTGAACCAGAAGGAGACTATTTTG